TATAGAGCATGATGTGTGGAAATCTCCGTATGCCGGTAAATTTGCCACCCGCGTCCTTCTGACTCGGACCGAACGACGGAGAGTGAGCTCTGCCTTCGATCGATCAATCATCCGACCGATCGTCAAAAAGGGAAACCGCGCCTGATTTCTCCATTTCAAACCAGATAGTTTCACCAAGATTTCAAACACACTCGGTCAGTCGACTGCGGGGACGAAAGGGAAACCATCGAGAGAGAAACACGATAATCACGTGTTGGCTATTTCTCTCGGTGAAACGAAAGTTCGTTTGTTGATCTTGGGTCAGCCGAGTTTCTAGACACGAGTCACTCCGTCTCGAGGGTCTGCTCGTGTTCGGCGAAGACGACAACAACAACAAGAACTGTTACGACCGCCGCGGAACCAACGAACGAGTGAGTGATCTGCGAACGACTGGCATCGGCAGCATACGGGAGAAACAAGCCAGCCAGAGACCAGAGGACGATTGTCAACGGTCACTCATGTCAGCTAAACGAATAGAGTCGGAGTAACAATAGCGGCAGGAGAGAGAAACGGTCAAGAGCACGTTAGGGGGAAGAGAGTGGCAAGCGGGGAATACGGTGCTGTCCAAAACAAAATTGCGTCCCGAGCGAGCTATATGCGGTGGTCATCAGTCGATTGGTTCAATCTCAGTGAAACGAGATCTTGATTGCGTACTTCCCGAAGGAGCAAGAGCTCGATCGATTTCCCGATCGATGGAAGTTGAATGGTGATTCACGATTTTTCGCAAAACATATATATGCATGTATGTGCGTGAACATGATGTCCCGTCGCCCGTTCGAACATTCTCAGCCTGTCACCGACTGTTTCGCGTCCACAATCTGTTACTATATACTGTAGAGCATGCGATCGGTGTCTATTTTTAGTTCGGCTCAGAGCCAGCACCGAACAATGTCACTGCTATGCGTGAGGGAATTCGCGGGTAATCGAGAGAGAAATCTCCGGGAGGAAGAACGATCCGATTGTATTTCGATACGGCTACATCGCGAAATAGCACGAAAGGGAGCAGCCTGGTGAGATCTCGGCTGACTGACTGTCATGCTGTCCGTAGTCTCCCCGAACGAACAACATCGTTCCCACCTCCAATAGGAGATTTTCAAGCTAACTTTGCATATGGAGCGTCACTGAATTCCAACACCGAGACTATGGCAACATCGGTCACATCGCGGGACTCAGTCAGAAGCTTCGCTGCGTCGTGTGATTCTGTTTGCGGAAGGGTGACAAGATGCCAAGACGTGCAACACGGTATCAATGTACGGGTTGTTGGGTTCACGCACCGGGTCGTCGCCGCTCATCATTCAGAAAGTCACGCTTCGAGTCCCGACAGATTCGGTCGGATTAGAAAATGATAGCTTCCGTACGTCACGAGATCTTTCACCCTCTCGTCACCTGAGCATCTCTCTCCTCGTCGTAAATATCGGATCTCTCCTTCTCAGAGCGATCTATCGTGCGCGGTCCTACGCTCCGAAGGCTCGGTTCCAGAGCGAGGGTGACGTCCCGCTATAGAACACTGTCGATCGAGCTCTTCGGAGAGAGCGGGCACCTTCCGCTTCTGTGCACCGAGGAGTCAGATGAAAAAAAAATAGTACACCGGTCTTATCCGATTGGGACGATAATAAACGTTCCATCAGAGACCGCGGCTCTTATCGAGCTCAGCGGATTCATCGATCGGCCGGGCTCCGATCATCTTTTCTACCGGTTCTCCCGAGATCGCCATAGTCTCATTGCCAGGTTCCGGCTCCCATAATGCAAGTCTCACACGTGTATTTCAAAAGCTTCGGATGACGGAGATCGGGACAGACTGCGGACGACGGAAAACGGGAACGAGGTGGAGGATGGCGTGAAATTGGATGGTGTCGTATGCGTGAGCCGGCCCACAACGTGAGCCGAATTCGGAGCTTGCTCTCGAGCTCCTCCCGTTTTTCTTAGTTTTTTCTTCCCCAGCCTCGATGCGAGAGAACATCCTCTCACTCAGCCGTCCCGAAATAAATGGTTTCAGAACGGAACAATGCAAGAAGTTGTCGAAGAAACCCGATATGTCAGGGGGGGGGGGCTCAAGGGAGCGACGGTGTCCGCCGGGGACTGCCGTACGCTTCTCGAGCTTTCGTCGTCGACGTCATCGCCGATCATTCTCTCTACGATGTCGACGGAAAGTGACGAAGTCTTGATGTTTGCAGACAACTCGCCAATAAATCCGTCGCTGCGCAGGTGGACGCACTCACACACACAAGCATATATACATGTTTGTATGTCTGCATATGCATATATATGGATTACCTAAACAAAGATAAACAGACTACGTTGCGCTACCATCTCTGCACGTCTGATGCGCTTGCGTCGAACAATCCCACCAGCCCGGCGCTGGAGACATCGAACCGAGAGACGCGAAGGCATAGGGGAAAATTCCTCAGCGTTGGGACCATACGTCTTGCGAAGAACAACAACAACGTCAAAACAGCATGATGACCGATGGCCGAAAATACTACAGCTAGCGGCTCAAGATGAGATCGATGGACGTCCCAGGAGACAATCTGTGATTTGTTGGACTCCTTCAAACGAGCCCGGGGAGAATGGATTGTAGCGCAAAGATGAGTCACATTCATATCCTTGGAACATCGCGGCATACTCCGTTCCTTCGATCGGAACGCGAAGGATACAAAAGTCCGAAAAGAAGAAACATGCGAAAACTCGCAAGCCGCGATATAAAACCAATATTTTCAGTTTTTCACAATCCGAGATGAATGTTGATTGCTTTCCTCATCGACGTCGGACCGTAAATCGAGTCGAGTGGATAATGACGGTGTTCATTGAATCATGTGGCCGAAGCCGGTGACTGCAGATGAGGAGATCAGAACGTCTGTCTAGTTCGTGAACAGGTGTGCTCACGGAGCGGTTCAGGCTCCACCGGTAGGTGAATCGGTGGGCATCGCATAAACAAATTGTTTACTCGCGGCTCAAACCAGGAGGATGATGATGCGACGGCCATCATCAACATGCGCTCCATATTGCCCGGCTACTTTCGACGGAGGACGAGTCTAGACCTCTTGCTATGAATTCCGCGCTGCACAACTTCGTACTCTGGGGTTTCGGACATCGCGTCGCGATCCATATTCACGCCCGCTGGCCGGTCGGCCGGCCGAGCTCCTTGTATTCAGAAACTGCGTTCGGATTCGACGAGTCAGAGCTTTGTTTTCAAATAAAGTCCGCAACAAATAACTCCGAGGCTCGAGATCCGATTGAGCCACAGAGAATCGCCCTCACCCCGCGCTACATGGCGTTCGAGGAACGAGTCCGGCGAGGACGGCGCGAACATCGCACTCCGCCGCGAGTGGTCGAAGGATTCTCGTGGGTGAGGAAAGAGACACGGGTGTTTATTGGGCTCGCTTTCAATCACCACGGCGCTCCAATCACCGAACTGACGGACTGACTAACAAGCGAAAGGATTGTAGGCCGATCGATCATCGATCAAGCGCCTGGTCCTTGGAAGCGAGCCCGAAGACGAAGCTACCAGCGCCGTTCGGCTTGCTCGAGAATTATTACGACGGCGATCCGGCGTGTGTATAATATCGTACAGACAGGGAAACATTGTTTCCGCTTCGGCGTGAATGCATTCGGGTTCTCGGGCGACGATTTACGTTGCGGAGAAAGTGAGCTAAACTAGTTGTGAGCCGGCGGCGCTAAGACGGCCCGCTGTCGGTTTGTCTGCGTTGTATAAATGGAATCTGGTCGTTCTGTTGTCGGTACACTTTTCGGAATCACAATAAATAATCGCTTCGACCGAGAACGTTCAACCACCATCGTCGTTGAAGTAGTAGTTATTGTTGTCGGCCTTACCGTCCTCGCCGATCCGGCGGCGGTGGCGTCAGCTTCGTGTAGAGAGCGAACTCTCAAGAATTTCTCCGGTCTGCCCGAAGCTATGGACCTTTCCAGTCAAGAGTAACGAATCGGATGGCGAGCCGGAATCTAAGCAGACCCGTCGGAGCGATTTAATCGGTGTGAAGAAAGAAAAGACATCGTGATCGAGTCGATTTTGCTCGACAGCCGTCATCGCTGGGCTCGGCGCAACGCTCTGAGAATTTTCGTTCTCTCCGTGTACGTAAGTGACTCATTGCCGACCAATTTTCGACTCTGACAAGATTATCCAACGTGAAAAAATAGGAGATGGATAGGCGGTGAACTCCAACCGTTCGATAAGATGCCCACCAACGTGAGACCACGGGAGAGCGAGGCCGAAATTTATTTCGAGTTGCATAATAATCCATCGGTCTCTCGCTAGCGTTCATGAGAGTCCCTCCAACCTACCGAAAGTTCAATGCCAGCCAATACGCCTCCGACAATAACACAGATTAGCCGTAGAATCTTGGATTCTGCGGTGCGTCTCTCGATCCGGACGCCGATGGCGGAAGAGTACATGAACTCTGCATACAGCTGCTCATCCGAGCACAGCTGTTGGCAGGACACGCTGTCGCTTGCCTTGCTGAGAGGATCTGCGGTGACTCTCGATCCGTCGAGCAAACACAACTCCTTTCATTCATTATCCTCCTTTATTTCCGCTCCAGGAAGAAAATCGGTGCCGTTGCGACCCACGATTGAGGGAGAAGAACTACGAATGAAACCTAAGCGAGCCATACGAGAAGCGATGCTGTCCGCTTTTCCCAGAACTATCCTGACAGGTTGGTTTCCAGATAGCTCTTATCCATCCAGTTCGTTAGTCCTTAATTGATAATTATCGTTCGCAAGACATATGAGATCATTAATCCCCGCGAGACATTCAGAGTGTCAATGACAGCGATGACGTAGGTAATTGGATTTGAAACCCAGCCCCATTAGGTCTATGTATACCTAAATGTTGGCATTCAATGAACGGACTAAAGAGCTACTAATTTCCTCTGCTATGAGACGGGAAACAGCGAGACCCCTGAAAGCTACCTACATCTATTGCTCTGGAAGGGCAGGGAGCTCACCTTGAACGTAAAGTTGCTGCTGCTGCTGCAGCTGCACCTGCCGCAGTTGTTGAGATTGCTGCTGTAGCTGTGAGTTGTTGGGGTTGCTTATGTGATTAACCAAAACTGTCGTCGGGTTCTGCTGCTGTTGCGGATGAGCGATCCCGTTCGAGTCGAGCTTCGCTTCAACGTCCCAAAAGTCGAGATCCATCTCGCCGATATCTGAGCAACTTAACGACGGCACGGGTGAGACTCCGGTATGCCCAGCCTGTTGATTCTGCGAAATAGCAGATGTAGGAACCGTACCACCTGTCTGATGCTTGCTAGTGTCGCTACAGGTGTTGGAGATGCTCCCAGTGATCGCCAGCGGCGACGCTGCCGACAGGTCCCGGATCGCCGAGGACGTCGACGACGACCAAGACACCACGGGGACCTCGACCGCGGCTCGTTTCCGATTGGAGGTTATCACGAGCGCCGGCCGCTTGCCGCAAGTGAACTCTGCGGGATTCGCGAGCGACTCCGCTTCGTCAACGAAGTACTGTGGGTTGATCTGGGGGTTCATACCGCCAGCGGTTTTGGGGCTGTCGCGGCGACAGCTTGACGCGATGACAGCTCGGACGGCTTGACGAGATTCGCCGTTCTGAATGAGATTCTCTGCACTTGTCGGATTCTTCTCCCAATTACGCTGTTGCTGCGATCGTAGTGTGAGCTCGACTCCGTATAGACTCGCCCTGCTCCTGATAACGCTTGCGGCTGATGAGGCTTTCGCACAGGCGACGGGGGTTTTACCGGACGATCGTGGCGGCGGCGGCGACGACGGCAACGGCGGCCGCGTCGAGGATGATGAAAAGTTAACCAGGCTATTTGTTTCACTTTTGACACTCGGAACTCTTAAGTCGGCGTCCACTTGACAACGACGCCGAAGAGCACTGTCCACTGTCTCTTCTCCTCTCCGATTGTTTTCGATACTGGACGAACGATTCGGCAGCCACAGTGGCATAAAAGAGTCCATCGGCAAGTCGGCTATCCCAGTCCCGACCCAGCTCCCGACGACGTCAGTTTGTCGATTCACTTGTGGAGCGCGCACAAACACTCACACTTTATTTCTTCCCTGCGGAAAGTAAGTTGCTGAGCCGCTGAGGTTTCTCTCGACACCGCGAGCGTTGTCCTGTCTCGATCTGTGAGCTCTCGATCCGCAAACACTGTACTTAATCCCTTGTAGTTGCTGCTCATAGGTCGAGCACAGAACACCGACTGTAACGCTGCTCTCGGGCCGGGCTTGCCTCGATGATGCGACAATGACGACGGAAGCTGTAAGACGCTCACCGGCGCAATAGAGCACGATGCCTGAATCGATGTTTTTAGCGGGTAACGCGGATACAACCTTCCACGGCAGGCCCGTAAGAGTGACTGACTCGGTTCAAGGTTGATTCTCTCACCGCGCGCGATGGAACATCAGACCCTCGCTCAGCTTCAAGGCCAGCTCGACCGCAGCGCCATCAGTGGAAGCCGGCCGCTGAAAACAGAAAGAAGAATCAAATAAGTTCTGTTTCTGGTACGCAAACTCAGACAACACAGAATGTTCTTTTTTTCTCATTCGGTTCGCCCGCTGCTCGGCTCGACCGTCGGACAGCGGCGTCTGGACCGTTTTTCACGACACACATTGCTGCCGATGCCCTTCCTTTCTCTTTAGGTTCCGACGAAGTACGCCGGGTCCACTCTTGGATCGGGTAGAGCGGAAGAAAGAAAGTTGAACGGGGATCTTCATTTCCTACCCGTGTCTGGATCGTTCGACCCTTTCTCGCTGGAACAGGTGACTGCCGGACGATATACTGTTCGACTCGCGGCCAGACGGACCGACTGACTGACTCCCGCTGTGTTTGTCCGCTGCTTAGACACAACAAACTGTTGAACTCGATCGAACAATGTGAATTACATCATCGTAGGCGACGGTCTCAACTTTATTTGCATATTCTCACCGATGCTTCGCCGGTCGGAGGATTATGTATTAGCACCACGTCCGACAGAAATACGGATCGTTGATACAGACTGAGGAAAACAACAAACTCGAGTGAAAAACAGCGACGGACTGGAAGAGGCTCACCCGTAATGCGTCAAGGACCGGACAGGGATTTGCCCCGGCAGGTGGTTGTCGGTCGCGGCAGTGTCTTGTTTCGCGCAGTGTTGCATGACGTCATTTCTTCTCATAGATTTCAATACTCATTCCACCGAAACGACATTACGGTCTTGACCGTTTCTGTGTTGGCTGTCGATTCTGTTTTATAATTTTCTGATGGCGAGTCCGCTCTCCCAAGCCTGTCTCTGGCATTAGTTTCGGAGGAGAGATTGATGGGAAATAGGTACATGAGATAAACAAATAAAAGGTTGGGATATTATTTGTTTTACGATGGAAATATCTGTCGGCACAGGAAGCTCTCGGCCTACACCGAACGTAAGAAAATGCCCCATCCTCAGAGGGGCTGTTATGAGAAAGACTGGAGTGATGAACGAGGAGAAACAGACGCGATTTCCACTCAATTCGTTCCGGTTCAATATTTCCGAGTGATGTGACGAGCCGGAAAAAAGCGTTGATTTCGGCAGATCGGACGAGTCCTTATCGGAAGGAGAGGAGAGTTCTCGATTTTCGATCTTCAGGTCCTGGAGACGTCAAGCCGATTCGGGACCCTGCCAACGGCCAAGGCGATGAAATCCGTGCGACTCCAAGAGAACGCAGGAAAGGGAGAGTATTTGAATCTAATGAGGTAATGAGACTCAGAGCTCCAATATTTCGAGCTAAATTCCAGCTTAAAACATTCCCGAACTTCAGAATGATGTTCATGCGTCGAGAGCCACTCGGATCGAGACATTAATTCAGCTGTAAATACAAGCGACTCGCTGAAACGGTTCTTTCCATCCTCATCGGCCACTCTAGCAAACTGCTGAGCTCTCACCACTCGACACCTTCTTCGAATCTTGGTACCGACGCGTATCCGATGCATTTTCTGCTTCCAGGGACGCCTCGCACAAGCTTCCTTGGCCGTGCTCAGAGGAAAATACTCTCCGTCCACAGGATAAGAACGATCGTCTGGGACTTTGTTGATGAGGAGGATCCATGACCTGATTTCGTCATCGCATTTATCCAATCTCAGAGTAAATAACCCCTCTCGAAGAGCTCCCGCATCATTCATATCGGTTCGCTGATGCTGTGTCACTCGCGAGTTCATCGTTGTCGAATTCTTGAGTAATGCAGGGGAATAGGGCGATTTATTTGCCTGGCGTTCCCGCTTTTCCATAGTTGGGTACTCCAAAGGACACGGTAATTTCAAAGTTCCGAGTCAGGGTTTTGCCGTCCGTCCAAACGTCTAAAGTCGGCTTTGCATCAGGCGACTTTCCGATACCATGGAAGGCCGAATCTGTTTCCTCCCGAGCGCTACGGGTTGAGAGTTCTGTCTGCTGGCCATTAATCAAAGAAAGCGGCATTGCCAGCGATCTCTCGGAAACCCCGGCGCTTACCGACGGTAACTAGCTTCGATCGCAGCAGCAGCAGCATCGTCGGCCGCCGCCGTCATCGCTACCGACCGAAAAGGTTGTTGGCCGCTGCGTGTGCTCGAAACGGGTCGTCCTTGACCTCATGGTAAGAATCATTCACTCTGCGTTGATCTCCTCTATGTGTGTCGATGTCGTTGTGGCCGTCAATCCCTGACGGAAAGTCGGAACTTGGAACGGTTTGTCGAGCCGCGAAAGAGTGCACCCGCCTCGAGTCTGTTCAAACACAACAGCGATTTTTTTCCGCGGCTGTCGCTATTCCGAAAGCAAAAAGAATATGTACGAGTCTCAACTTCTCGCCCAATGCGAAACTGAGTCACGTGTCTCGCGACAGTGATCGCGGGAGCCGGAATGCAATCGAGATATCTCTTCCGCTGAAAAACATGAACAATAATTCTAAACCAGATACTTATCCACATCGATTTCCCTCCGGAAGGTTCAGATACCTACAGGCAACAAATGAGCGACGAAGCCGCTCAGGGGGATCAGAAGTGGTCCCGACAAGCTGTGGAACTTCATCTATGAGCTTAGCTCGAAGTATCCTTTCACACGACAGGGGGAGATCTCTCGGAATTCTATCGATCCCAATGGAGCTCTAACGAACGATTCCTCGACATGTCAGCGTCGATGGATATCTTTATGTATCCAGCTGCACCGCTGTGAGGGAATCTGCAAAATGCAGTTGATAGGGAAGCCGAAGGGGTACTCCAGAAAAAAAGGCGGTAAGGCCAGAAAACTTTAGCGATCGGAGAGATGCACGGCATCATCACTTGCAGGGGTTGAGCGAGGAAAATTTCAGCTCATCGAGAGCCGGGTCACTGGGACACCGTTCCTCAGTTTCGAGTCATCATCGTTCAGTCACTTCTCTGTCAGAGGGTCAACATGATCATTCTAAATGGAAATTCAGTACTGAGAGGCATGACTAAACTAGCTTGCTCGAACAACCCCCTGATTTGAGCGCACGTCGGTTTTTGGTAGTCAAGCTTGCATTGTTGAAACCTGCGAGACCGCTTCGATCAAGTGCTCCAGCCTCCAGGCCCATAAGTCAAGTCAAACCATCGAGCGGGATGGATTGAAACGCTCTTTGTTCGGCCTTGCGACTCCAGCTAGCCGGTCTAGTTGATGAGCTATTTTTAGCTGGGGCACAGAGGGGGTTAAGAGGCTCAAAGATGGAAAAATTGACTGACCAGATGAAACATCAGCAACCGTCTAAAAATTGCTATCAACAGTAAGCGCAACAGTCTCCGTGGGATGAACCTCCACGGCATCCTCGTTGACCGCTTCGGGACACGTTGCGGCTTTCACCTAAAGGAAGACCTTCAACAACGCCACGAATTTCCGCCGTGCCTTATCTTAGGCTCCTCCAAATCCGTCCATTTGACTATCTGTCCACCAATCATATCATCAAGCCGTGTATCCATAGAGATGGTCGGTCGGTCGGTCATCTCAATGAAGATAAACAGTTGCGGATGCCCGAAACGGGGTCATGCTCACAACAAGACCAAGGTTGGTCGTTCGCTCGCTCGCTCGGTCGCTAGCGCTTTGCCGCGACGCGCTCCAACGCTCAACTCGTTGCGGGCACTCAGTTGACCTGTATATTAGAACGCGAGAGCGACATCTCGAGAGACGCGGAAGACGACCGGATGCTCAATGCAGCAACGATAGAATGAGGGAACTTGGAGGAGTTCAGCTAGCGTTTCATGGTTCCCATGAGGGAATATATCACATGTGTTGAGCGAGTCGTAGGTCTGAACTCCCAGGCGGTCCTAGCGACTCTGAATCGTCTGACCTGGAACAGTGCGAGACCGCCTCCTCTATTTCCATGTTTATCGTGAGTCCCACGGAGAAAAAGATACTCCCATATCCGGATGTGGGCTCGGAGCCGAGGCTAGGGTTCGTCTGGTTCGCCAGAGACCCGAAGGCGAACCTCTCACGAGAAGACAGCCGATCCTGAGAGGAACGAAATCGTCCGCCTGGCATCGATCGGAAAGATCAGATGACCGAGAATGGTCCTCA